AAAAAATGCGATGGTTGATATGTCTACTGTGTGTTGACAGATTATTGTCGTTTGCTAGTACTTAAATATAAGAGGAAAAACGCAAATTCATTCAAAATAAACTCTGTGGAATGTAAACAAAATAAATGTTAGCGAGTTGGGGAGGATTTAGGAAATAAGTGAACTGTCAACTTTTTGTCAAAACCATTCTCGTGTAGAGAATGGTTTTGAGAATGTTTTTGTCAAAACCATTCTCGTTCATAACGGCGACATTTACTGCGAGCGAGTTTGAGAGGAAAAATAGCGGTTGACTAAAACCGTACTCGAGTATGCTGTTCAGAAATTATGCAAAAGCCTTTGACGAGACTTAGTTTGCATGATTATCTTTTTAACTTGCAAAATGTTATCAGTATTAAATTTCCATAGTTTTTTATGAGGATAATCATTTTTCATGAAAGAGCATCACTTGAATCTTTGCGGAATCTAACGGTATTTAGGAGACCAACATTTAGTATTAAGGTTCTTATTTAATTACTTGTCGCCTCCTCGGTGGTTTCGTCCGTTGCAAATGATGACGTGTTACTCTATATGGAATAACCTAGTTGATAGTGAATGTTATATGCGTACTTCTCAAATGAAATTATCAAGTGGAGTGTATGAGACAGCGTTAATACTATGAAAAACAGGCCTGCTTTTTGGCACTAACAAGCCGGTTAATGAAAATGGTAATTGTTTTGAAAATATATTCTCGTTATTTTATTACATGGCAAGAGACACGACCTTTGAACAACATTGATTGAGTAGGATGTCATTGGGAAAAGATCATTTTTTGTCGATGGTAAGGCTACTTTTTAATTAAAGTGATGAGTGAAAATATTTATTTTGGTTTCCATTTGGTCCGTTCGAAATCCTTGCACGTTGATCGAACGACTCACACTCACTGTTCCCTTATCCTGTGGTGATCCCGTGTTGCACTATGCTGACGTGTCCAGATGATTAGAAATTGAAATCGCTTATTGCATTGTTTGTCAAATGTTCGATCACTCAGTTTACTAAAACCGTT